CAAAAAACTAGCTGGGCGTGGTGGTGCGTGCCTGTGATCCCAGCTACTCAGGAGGCTGAGGCAGGAGAATTGCCTGAGCCCAGGAGGCGGAGGTTGCGGTGAGCCGAGATCGCGCCATTGCACTCCAGCCTGGGTAACAAGAGCGAAACTCCGTCTCAAAAAAAAAAAAAAAAAAAAGAATACTTGTGCTGAAATGAAAGCTAAATATAAACAAGGAATGCTTTATTTATATTTTGTTATTGTTGTTAGAGACAGGGTCTCACTCTGTCACCCAGGCTGGAGTACAGTGGTGCAATCACAGCTCACTGCAACCTCGAACTCCTTGGCTCAAGTGATTCTCCCAACTCAGCTTCCTGAGTAACCACCAGGACTACAGGTACATGCCACTGTGCCTGGCTAATTTTTTTTTTTTTTTTTTTTTTGAGACGGAGTTTCGCTCTTGTTACCCAGGCTGGAGTGCAATGCCGCGATCTCGGCTCACCACAACCTCCGCCTCCTGGGCTCAGGCAATTCTCCTGCCTCAGCCTCCGGAGTAGCTGGGATTACAGGCACGCGCCACCATGCTCAGCTCATTTTTTGCACCTTTAGTAGAGACGGGGTTTCACCATGTTGACCAGGATGGTCTCGAGCTCTTGACCTCATGATCCACTCGCCTCAGCCTCCCAAAGTGCTGGGATTACAGGCTTGAGCCACCGCGCCCGGCTAATTTTTTAATTTGTTGCCAGGCTGGTCTTGAACTCCTGGCCTAAAGTAATCTCCTACCTGGCCTCCCAAAGTATTAGGATTACAGGCATTAGCCACTGTTCCCAGCCAAGGAGTGTTTTAGAAAACTCCCTGGAGGCAAAATAGGTGACCCAAGATGGTAGAAACAGTTTCTACCTAGTTTCTCTAGAAACGGCCAGTGTCCTTATCCTCTAGTATGAATAAAGTCTTAGGGGTGGAGGAGGTGGTGAAAACTGTCATAACCAGCATGTTCATTCTCGTAAGTGGAACTTTTAATAACCTTTCTAGTTTCCTGCCTTGCTTCAGAAGACAAGTGTTAACAAGCCATTCTCCTGACTTTAAGCTTGCAATAAAGATTCTAGCACAGCATGTGATTTGTCCAGATAATTAAACATGCAAGCTTGCATGTTATTTGAAGGCTTATTATGACCTTCTCAGCCTTTCCATTTCTAAAATGATTTCTGTCTTTTGAGTCATTAATCCTAAGTATGCGTGTGTGTGTGTGCACGCATGTGTATTGTGTACTGTCATTTATTCAAAGGTGTTTCTACTTAAGGTGATTAATACAAATGCATTGAAAATGATGCTGACTAAATTAATTCTACTTAAAGATTAGTTGTTAGCCAAATGCTATGAAAATGTTGTCTAGGAACAATCTTAATCCTTTAAAATATTTAATACTTAAAAAAAAGACTGGATCAGGGGTCTCCAACCCCCAGGCCACAGACTGGTACTGCTCCATGGCCTGTTGGAAACCAAGCCGCATAGCTGGAGTTGAGCACAGCACAAGTGAGCATTACCACCTGAGCGCTGCCTCTTGTCAGATCAACAGCATTAGATTCTCACAGGAGCGCAAACCCTGTTGCGAACTGTGCACGCAAGGGATCTAGGTTGCACAGTCCTTATGAGAATCTAACTCCTAATGATCTGAGGTGGAACAATTTCATCCTGAAACCATTTCCCGCCCCTCTCCCCCTCCTGCCCCTGCCAACCCCAGTATGTGGAAAAATCGCTTTCCATGAAACCAGTTCCTGGTGCCAAAAAGGTTCGGGACCACTACTGTTGATCATTTGTACAGATTGTTTGAGGACATTGTCTTCTAGATGAAACTGAACACCACCCCTCCATTCTTTGCTTACTAGAATTAGACTGTCAAAATGTGGCGGACGAAGAGGGGTGGGAATCCCTGAGGAGGAAACCTCCTTTTGAGAAGCAGATCTATGACCCTCTGTCATATTCAAAAAGTAACAGGTCATTTTTTATAAAGAAAGTTTATTTTTTAGAGCAGTTTTAGATTCACAACAAAATTGAACAGTAGGGACAGAGATTTCCCTTATACTCCCTGCACTCAAACAACATAGCCTCCCCCATTGTTAACGTCTCCCACCCAAGTGATGCATTTCTTACAGCTGATCAATCTACATGACACATCACCACCCAGAGTCCATAGTTCACACTAGGGCTCACTCTTGGTGTTGTACAGCCTATGGATTTGGACAAATTTGTAATGCCATGTATCCACAATGACAGTATCATACAGAATAGTTTCCCCACCCTAAAAATCCTCTTGCTCTACCTGTTCTGTCCTCCCTCTCTCCTAACCCCTGGCCACCTTTGATTTTTTTACGGTCTCTGTAGTTTTGCTTCTCCTAAAATGTCATATAATTGAAATCATATAGCATCTAGCCTTTTCAGCTTGGCTTCTTTCTCTTAATATGCATTTAAGGTTCCTCCATATCTTTTCATGGCTTGATTGCCCATTTTTTGGTGCTATTTTTCCATTGTTTGGATGTACCACAATGTATTGATGCATTCACCTACTGAAGGACATCTGGGTTACTTTCAAGTTTTAACAATTATGACTAGAGCTGCTATAAACCACCATGTGCAGGTTGTTGTGTGCATGTAAGTTTTCAACTCATTTGGATAAATATCAAGGCCAGCAAAGGCTAGATTGTATGGTGAGAGTATGTTTTATAAGAAACTGCCAAGCTGTCTGCCAAGTGGCTGTACAATTTTGCATTCCCAGCAGCAATGAATGAATGAGAGCTCTTGTTGCTCTGTATTCTCACCAGCATTCCTGGTGAAATCAGTGCTCTGGATTTTGGCCATTCTATTAGGTGTGTAAAGGTATATCACTAATGCTTTAATTTCCAGTTCTCTAATGACAGAGGATGTGGGGCATCTTTTCATATGCTTTTTTGCCATCCATATATTTTCTTTTTTTTTTTTTTTTTTTTTTTTGAGACGGAGTTTTGCTCTTGTTACCCAAGCTGGAGTGCAATGGTGCGATCTCGGCTCACCGCAACCTCCGCCTCCTGGGTTCAGGCAGTTCTCCTGCCTCAGCCTCCTGAGTAGCTGGGATTACAGGCACGCGCCACCATGCCCAGCTAATTTTTTTGTATTTTTAGTAGAGATGGGGTTTCACCATGTTGACCAGGATGGTCTCGATCTCTTGACCTCGTGATCCACCCACCTTGGCCTCCCAAAGTGCTGGGATTACAGGCTTGAGCCACTGCGCCCGGCCCATATATTTTCTTTGGTGAGATGTCTGTTCGGGACTTTTGCTCATTTTTAATTGGGCTGTTTCTTTTTCTTTTCTTTTCTAGATAGGATCTCTCTCTGTCACACAGGCTGGAGTGCAGTGACACCATCATGGCTTGCAGCAGCCTTGACCTTCTGGGCTCAAGCAGTCCTCCTACCTCAGTCTCCTGAGTAGCTGGGACTATAGGCATTTGCCATTATTCCCAGCTAATTTTTTCTTTTTCTTTTCTTTTCTTTTTTTTTTTTTTTTTTTTTTTTTTTTTGAGACAGGGTTAGGCTAGAGTGCAGTGGTGCTATCTCAGCTCACTGCAACCTCCGCCTCACGGTTCAAGCAATTCTCCCACCTTAGCCTCCTAAATAGCTGAGACTACAGGCATGCGCCACCATGCCCAGATAATTTTTTTGTATTTTTTTGGTAGAGACAGGGTTTCACCATGTTGGCCAGGCTGCTCTAAACTCCTAATCTCAAACGATCTACCTACCTCAGCCTTCCAAAGTGCTGGGATAACAGGCATGAGCCACTGTGCCCAATCCAGGTTTTCTCTCTTTCTTTTTTTTTTTGAGACGGAGTTTTGCTTTTGTTACCCAGGCTGGAGTGCAATGGCACAATCTTGCCTCTCCACAACTTCCGTCTCCTGGGTTCACGCAATCCTCCTGACTCAGCCTCCCAAGTAGCTGGGACTACAGGCGTGCACCACCACGCCCAGCTAATTTTTGTATTTTTAGTTGAGGCGGGGTTTCACCATGTTGACCAGGATGGTCTGGATCTCTTGACCTTGTGATCCACCTGCCTCGGCCTCCCAAAGTGCTGGGATTATAGGCGTGAGCCACCGCGCCCAGCCCAATCCAGGTTTTCTTATTGTTGAGCTTTAAGAGTTCTCTGTAAATTTTGGAAAACAGTCCCTTGTCAGACTGTTTTGGGTGAATATTTTCTCCCAGTCTGTGGCTTCTGTTTATGTTCCCTTGACAGCCTCTTTTGCAGAGCAGGAATTTTTAACTTCAGTAAAGTCCAGCTTATCATTTCTTTCTTTCACAGATTGTGCCTTTGGTGTTGTATCTGAAAAGTCATCACCACCCTCAAGGTCATCTAGATTTTCCGTGTTATCTTCTAGGAGTTTATAGTTTTGTATTTTGCATTTAAGTCTGTGATCGATTTTGAGTTAATTTACAAGTCATTTTGCTTTTGAATTTTCAGACAAGATTCATGAAAAGTAAAGGAAGTTGGAGTAGCATATTAAAACATTTGGAAAAGTATAAATAGGCTTTCTCATTTATTAAGCATATGGCCTTAACCATTTTAAAGTCTCAGATTCTGCATTTTATAATGAGGATAATAGTACTGACCTCATACAGTTGATATGAGAACTAAGTGACATTGTACATGTGAAACCCTTGGGAGCTTCCTGCTTGCTGAACACGTGGAGATGCTGGAAGCAGGGCTAGACCAGAGAATGCATGGATGCTCCATCCCCACTGGCTTGTCCTATCCATCTGTCTGTTCATCTGTGTCCTTTGTAATAACCTTTATAATAAACCAGTAAATGTTTAAAAAAAAAAAAAAAAAAGCAAAACACTGAACATCACACCTGCATGGTAAGTAGCAGTTGTTATGGATGGTTTTTGCTATCATGATGTAGATGAAGAAGATGAGGATGTCAACATAAGGTGTAAAAAGAATTTTGATTTTTCTTTTTTTTATTCCTCACTGATTCTCCATTTCCTTTTTTTGGTAGGTGGTGGACTTTGTAGCAGCAACATTGCAGAGAGCCTGTGCAAGCTTGGCCCATCAGGCAGAAAGCACCGTCGAATCACAGACACTGAGCATGTCCATGGGGCTGGTGGCTGTCATTCTGGGAGGAGCTGTTCAGGTGAGTTGTAGACATGAGCCAAGCTCAAATGGAGGGAAGGGATAAGACAAATACCAGTTGTTTCCTTTCCATACCCTTGTGAGAAATAAGAATGGATGTTGTACATAGGAGAACCAGGATAAAGAAGTTAGTCTGTTAGTGAGAATTCTCTCCAAAGCAGAGGACAAAAAAGTTGCACTGTTTCCACTTTGTCACCTGAATAGGCTTCACTATCAGAAGGGCAGGGTCCTTTCTACTTGTTACAATCTTAATTTGGAAACATGTAGCCTGGTGTTTTGCATCTGAGGTGAATACTAGATTTTCTGGCCCTCAGTCTCCAAAGCTCAGCCCTTGTTTCTGCTACTCTTGTTGGGGAAAATCCTTAGTAGCCTGCTGGCTGCATAGGATCCATCTATTTTGAATGTTCCATTTTAGCACAGGATTTATTCTTCAACACATACCATGTAGTGTGTTAAAGCTTTGCTTCCAGCCACTTTTAAGTGTGTATGTCTTTTACATACCTAATTTTTTTCCCCAAAAATGGATACCCAATTTATAATTTTTAAATTTATTTTTTTAAACAGTACATATTGCATACTTGTGTGCCACACATACTGAGCTAGGGTGCTGGGAATACAGCAGGAGACAAGGCAGACCTTCATGAAATTTCAGTCCAGTAAGGAAGTCACACACTAAATGACTGTTCAGAAATAAACTTAGGATTGATTGAAGGGCCTCAAAAGAGAAGTGGCAGGTACCAAGAGCACGTAACATCTAACCTAGGCTGGGAAGATTTCCACTGAGGAAGTGTAAGCATAAGATAAGATTTGAAGGATGAATAGCAGTGTGGGTGTGTGTAGGGTGCAGATGAAGGAAACTCTTCCAATTAAGGGAAACATCATGCTTAGAAGCAGCAAAGAGCTTGGTATATGTGAGACACTGATAGAAGACTGGTGTTGGTGAATTGTAGAGACCAAGGGGAAGAGCATGCCAGCAAGGACAAAAGATAGACAAGGGCTAGACCATGCATGTGTGTGTGACTGGCTAATTACATACCTAGTTAGGTGAGGAGTCTGCAGGAAAGCAGAATAGTCTTAGTGTGAGTCTTATGAAATCCACCCTGAAGCTAGCCTGCTCATAACCCTTAGCAATGAGTAGGATACCCTCTGGGAATGGATTTTTGAGTTTGAGGATTCAAGTCTGATTCTTATTCTTGATATATTAGAATATGCCTTTCACTAGCCTGTCTAAAAGGAAAAGGAGTTTTATCTGGGCCTGTTATTAGTGTAAAGCCCATTTCTTGGTAGATTTACTTAGCACTAATAATTATATATTTTCCATGTTGTTTAAAAAAAAAAAAAAGCATTTGGTTCATTTTCTAGAGCCATAATATACCCTTGCTATTAGAACTATCAAGGAAAGGTTGGTCAATTGAATCATTTTTCTTTTCTTTTCTTTTCTTTTCTTTTCTTTTCTTTTCTTTTCTTTTCTTTTCTTTTGTTTGAGCTGGATTCTTACTCTGTTACCCAGGCTAGAATGTGGTGGCATGATCTTAACTCACTGCAGCCTCAGCTTCCCAAGTAGCTGGGATTACAGACATGCACCACCCCACCCAGCTAATTTTTGTATTTTCAGGAGAGACAGGGTTTTGCCAGTGTTGGCCAGGCTGGTCTTGAACCCCTGACCTCCGGTGATCTGCCTGCCTCAGCCTCCCGAAGTGCTAGGATTACAGGCGTGAGCAACTACACCCGGCTGGAATTATTTTTCTTAAGTCATGTTCTTACTGGATTTAGTTAGCCAAATTGATTTTAGTTTTTCTTGTTGACTGTTAATTTGAATAGTGTTTTTCCATAAGGTGAGAGTGCAGTTTTGTTTTTTTTTCTCGCTTCTCTGTACTTATCATTTCGAATCACATCCCAAATGAAAGATATATCACAGAAATCTCCATTTCCCTTTCTAGGAGCCCACTGTTGGAGGGCCAGCTGTGCACGTTAGTTGTGTTCTAAGAGAGACTCACCTGACCGATGTAAAGGTTATGCGTTGCAGGCCCCTGCCTTTCCGTGAGCCATCCTGACTCACTGACTACATCCGGCATTCCTCTGACTTTGCAGTTAGTCAAGTGAACATAGCATGTCACCCCTTATACCTTTGCCCTAGATCTACTACCGTTTTTCTGTTTGAATCATGGATTTGTAAGTGGCTTCTAGAGTAATGCTGGATTTTCTTTGTGTTAGAAAAACTATATCATGGTTCTAAATTATGTTTTCAGTCAATCTTTGTCAGGCTAACATTATACTGTTTTTTTCCAATCCTTATTAGGATTTGTTGTTTTGGCTAATGAAAAAAGAATATAACATCATCTGAACCAACCTACCTACTTAATTTCTTTCTTTCTCTCTTTCTTTCTTTTCTCTCTTATTTATGTAATCAAAGTGATTATTAGAACATTGTGTCTGGGAAGAGAAGTTAATTTGGAAAATGTGTATATTTAAGACTGATGACAAGATCACTGTAATTCCAGGCTCAATTTTTTAAATTTCAGAGTTAGCCACCACCAGAAGTATTACATATTGGTTACTCTTCTTTGTCCCCTCAAGAAGCAATTTCTGCATGATGTTACATTGTGGGTTGGTCTCTAAAGCACGAAGCTGAGCAGACCATTCTAGACCTTCTTTAGGAAAAACCAAGATCATGTTGTTCCAGGGAGACACCAGAGCCTCTGGTTAAAAGCTGGGCTCCAAATCTTTAAATCTAGATTCTATTGGGGTGAGGGTTCATTATTGGGAGAGAAAAGGCGCATCTCTTCTCTAAAGGGGAAGGGGTCTTTATCTTGGTCTTACTCTATACTGTTTTGGTCATGTTTTTGATCAAAGGCCATTGCTCAGACTCTTTGGCAAAAAGGTTACCATGAGCATAGACTGTGTTTTAGGTGCTGTTGACTTACATATTAGAATCATTGCAAACAGAGGCTGGGGTGGAAGTAGTGGTAAGCAAGCTAGAGGTCTAATGCAGAATGGAGGAAAGGTAGAGAGGGAAGAGCCGCTGAAATCTGTTGCATGCTGGTGAGGCAAATTGGTTGACTCAGTTAGAATGCTGTCCTTTCTTTTCTTCACTGAGCCTAATTTGGGTATGCTGCTTGGGAAAACTTCCATTATTTCCAGCTGTTATGTAGAGCTCCAAAGAGCCGATAATTCTTCTTAATTACTGTTGCTTTCAAGCAGCCTCACTTAGAGATGTCTTACTTTCTGCCATATTTCATAAACCTGCCACAGTAGGTACTTAATTAACAGTGTGTTGGGCCAGGCTTGGTGGCTCAGCCTGTAATCCCAGCACTTTGGGAGGCCGAGGCGGGTGGATCACGAGGTCGAGAGATCGAGACCATCCTGGTCAACATGGTGAAACCCCGTCTCTACTAAAAATACAAAAAATTAGCTGGGCATGGTGGCACGTGCCTAGTAATCCCAGCTACTCAGGAGGCTGAGGCAAGAGAATTGCCTGAACCCAGGAGGTGGAGGTTGCGGTGAGCCGAGATCGCGCCATTGCACTCCAGCCTGGGTAACAAGAGCGAAACTCCGTCTCAAAAAAAAAAAAAAAAAAAAAAAAAACAGTGTGTGAATGGATGGATAAATGGAAGGAAGAATAAAAGGAAGAAGGAAAGATCAATGTCTAACTAAGGAGGCATGAATTTTGTTTTGTTTTGTTTATCAAAAGGGCATGGCCTTCAGAAAGTTTAAAAACACAGCCCTCGGCCGGGCGCGGTGGCTCAAGCCTGTAATCCCAGCACTTTGGGAGGCCGAGGCGGGTGGATCACGAGGTCGAAAGATCGAGACCATCCTGGTCAACATGGTGAAACCCCGTCTCTACTAAAAATACAAAAAAATAGCTGGGCGTGGTGGTGCATGCCTGTAATCCCAGCTACTTAGGAGGCTGAGGCAGGAGAATTGCCTGAGCCCAGGAGGCGGAGGTTGCGGTGAGCCGAGATCGCGCCATTGCACTCCAGCCTGGGTAACAAGAGCGAAACTCCGTCTCAAAAAAAAAAAAAAAAAAAGAAAGTGACTTTCCAGTTAACTAAGCTGACTAGTTCCCTCTAATTCTTTTTGCTTTTGAGATTAAACTATCTATTTCTGGAATTGTCTTCATTGTGTTCATTTTTACACATTGTTAAAGATTTTCAGAGCTTTGACCAGGCATGGTGGCTCACACTTGTAATCTCAACACTTCGGGAGGCCAAGGCAGGCAGATCACCTGAGGTCGGGAGTTCAAGACCAGCCTGACCAACATGAAGAAACCCTGTCTCTACCAAAAATACAAATTATCCAGGTGTGGTGGCACATGCCTGTAATCCCAGCTACTTGGGAGGCTGAGGCAGGAAAATTGCTTGAACATGGGAGGCAGAGGTTGCAGTGAACCAAGATTGTGCCTTTGCACTCCGGCCTAGGCAATAAGAGTGAAAAAAAAAGCAAAAAAAAAAATTTTTTTTCAAGATGGAGTCTTACTTTGTTGCCCAGGCTACAGTGCAATGGTGCAAGTCTTGGCTCCTGGGTTTAAGCAATTCTCCTGCCTCAGCCTCCTGAGTAGCTAGGACTACAGGTGCGCCACCACACCTGGCTAATTTTTATATTTTTGGTAAAGATAGGGTTTCACTATGTTGACCAGGCTGGTCTTGAACTCCTGGCCTCAAGTGATTCTCCCGCCTCAACCTCCCAAAGTGCTGAGATTTACAGCCATGAGCCATCATGCCAGGCTGCTTTATATAATTTCTATAAAGTGATGTATATTGACACCAGTGGCCTGTGAAGAAGGCTTTCATTTGTTTTAAATTACTACAAGCATTTGATCCAAATGCTTCCAAAGATTCAGAATCTTCCAGGATAACTGGCAGACAACTACCTAGCCAATTTCATGAATTTTAGGCAAAGATTCAATCATTATATTTAAAATATGGTTTTTATGGGCCGGGCGCGGTGGCTCAAGCCTGTAATCCCAGCACTTTGGGAGGCCGAGGCGGGTGGATCACGAGG